AAGGTAAGGAGGAATAGCTGACTTAGCACCTGCTTGAGTCCATGTGGTCAACAAAACATAAGATAAAATGACAAGAAGAGTTGTTATGGATTGAACTGTGTCTTCCCAAAATACGTGCTGTAAATCCTAACTCCTCTACCTGTGGTTATAATCCCATTTGGGGATGGGTTTTCTTTGTCATGTTCATGAGGCAGTATTAGTGTAGAGATGTCTTAAGCTAGTCACCTTTGAGATATAAAATGAGCAGAGAAGCACAGAGAAGTAAGCAGAGATGGGAGAAGATAGATGTCAAGCCACATGAAGGTCACCAAGGAACCAAGGAACAAGGACCTTCCCCAGGTCCGACAGGGAGAGAAAGCCTTCCTTTAGAGCCGGCACCCTGAATTTGTACTTCTAGCCTCCTAAACTGTGAGAAAATAGATTTATGTTTGTTAAAACAACCCACTTGTGGTATTTCTGTTATAGCAGCACTAGATAACTGAGACAAGTTTCCAAGCTTTCTTCAACTTGGCATTGTTTTGAAAGAAAACTGAGCTCTCATCCATTTCTCTCATCTAAACAGCCCTGATGCAGGGACCTTCCTGGATTAAAAAAACCCACCTCAAACCAGTTGCTGTGGAATCAGTTCTGACTCAGGGCGACCCCATGTGTGCCAGAGTAGAACTGTGCTCTACGGGGTTTTCAATGGCTGATTTTTCAGAAGTAGATCTCCAGGACTTTCTTCCAAGGAGCTTCTGGGTGGACTTGAACCTCTGCCTTTCCATTAGCAGCCAAGCACATTAACCATTTGCACCACCCAGGGACTCTCTCCTGGATTCATAGCAGAGATTTCTCCAACCTGAAGAATTCTATAATTGTTTATACCGGAGCAGCAGCCTTCCTGTACAGTGGCTGAAAGGAGGAAGGCCCAAGCTGAAGTGCACGTCTGCCTCTCCCAGCAGACCCAAGGCTGGGTTGAAAGCCTGCCCCATAGGAGGCATCCTGGTAGGCAGGAATTGGACCACTGCCTTCATCCGGATTCCACCAAAGGCAAACCCTGAAACAAGAATCTGGGTGCACATCGTTTATTGGGGATGTGACCCAGGAAACACAGTGAGGGATTCAGGAAGGGAGATGAAAGAAAGGACAGCCAATAGAGGGTGCACTCATGAGTAGAAAGCTGCTGAAAGGAATTGGGGTTCACTCCTACTGGGACCCCTCTCAAACACACCTCACTTAGTCCTATGGGTGGACAAGGAACCTTGGATTTTTTTTCACCAGCTTCCATTGCTCATTGGTTAAGGGTTGCTCCCCCCCACACACACACACACATACACACACACACACACCAGTTGCCATCAAGTCAGCTCCAACCCACGGAGACCCCATGTGTGTCAGGGGAGAACTAAGCTACATAGGGTTTTCTGTGGCTGATTTTTCTAAGTAGATCACCAGGCTTTTCTTCTAAGGTGTCTCTGGGTAGACTCGAACCTCCAACATTTCAGTTAGCAGCGAAGTGCATTAACCCTTGCACCATCCAGGGACTCCAAGGGTTGCTCCAGACACTGTTAACTTTGCAGCTCTTCCGACCTGCTCCATGCAGGGGTTCAGCAAATTCCTGTAGCCAGAGAAAGCCTTCAAGCAGAGATGCAGATGCTTGGGGTAGGAAGCCATGGACGTGTCCACAAAGCTGCAGATGACCTCCAAGTGGGTCTGCTCCATCCATCTGCAACAGTCATTATGGCAAAAATGGCTCCTCCTTGTCTGTGTTGTGATCCATAGGGTTTTCATTGGCTGATTTTATAGGTCACCAGGGCTTTCTTCCTAGTCTGTCTTAATCTGTACACATAAGCCCCCCCACCGCCACTCCCATAGTTAGTCCACCTCTTTCTCATCTGCTCTCCCCTCTCCACGGCCTTGTAAACAGTGAGCCTCCAAATGGCCTCACCCTCCAGGCAAGTGGAAGCCGAGCTTGCAGCCTCTAAGCCCCCTGGCCTCTACAACTCAAATCCAAGCCATCTTCCAACTGCTGCCCAGCAGGAAGGGCTAGGACTTGCGATTGCCATTTTACTTAAGCCCTGCTGAAGAACAGCAAGGGGTAATGGAAAAAGCAGGAGCAGATGGCAGGAACTGGAAGTTTCTTGTCTCAAGTCCACCAGTAATTTTCTTATTTGATCCTAAGGAGATTAGCAAAACTTACAGAACTCAGTTTTCCTACTGTAAATCGGGAGTAAGAACACCTGCCTTATTTACCTCTAAAAATTGTGGTAAGGGTCAAAGGAGACAATTCATGTACATGGCATCACCTTCAAATGTAAGGTGTGTTTATGGCAAAGCCTAACTCTGCTCAGCCTCGGCCTAATTACTCTGGGCTGGCTTTAGGTCCTGAGGCACAGGCCTGGCTGGCAGACTCTCAAAGGCCCTCTTTGCAGATCCCCTCCCTCACCACTGCCAGTGTAGCATCCTGTTCTGGGAGGGCAGAATGTTCTCGGGTCTAGAAGAAACTCCGCCTTTGTTGAAATCGGTCCAGGCAGGCCAAGTCCAGGGCGAGGCCACTCCCAGGTGGCACAGGAAGTCCCCTTAGGATGAACAGAGCAGACTTACTTGCTGCCTAGGTGTTTCCTAGCCCCTCCGGTCTCTCTGTTCCACTCTGTGTCAAAAAGCAGATTTCTTGATGACTATCCAGAGTGGTGGATGGGGCAATGCAACTTCCCCAGAACATGAAGAGGCACTAGTGAGAGCGCCAGCTACCTGTGCTTGGAATGTGTCACTAAGGCCAACGTGTGCCAACAGAGAAGCAAGTGTTGGCTGGACCTGATCCCTCCAGCTAAACTCTGAAGCCAGTGAGTCAGGGAGACTGTCCTAAAGGGTGAACAGGGTGCCAGAGGGCTGGAAAAAAACAGGCAATTCTGGAAGAGGACTCAAATGTTGTCACACAATCAAATACTGGGAATAATGCTCAAGTCCAAAACAATGGAATACAATGCCCATTATAATAGTCACTTGGCCCCAGGGGCGTATTGGTGTGGGAGGGGCTGCTGAACCCTTCTCTGTAGGCTAGGAAAGAAAAGCTCTCACCATCATTCAGTTACAAACAATGGATGCAAAGTGACTCCCCGGGACAGAGACATGTGGGTGGGGGAGAGGCTTAAGAGAGACTCTAACCAGTTCCCAGAATAAATTCCCCCGTAAATCCGTAAATCCGAAGAATGCTCATGGACAGAAGTCACTGCTCCATCTCCCTTTTAAGCCTCCTGCTGGAACAGAGTTGTTCTTGGCACTGGGAAGTAAATGTGAGAAGGGAATCAAAACACGACGCCTGAGAAAGGAATCCAGGAGGAATCTGAAGGCAGGGGATAGTGAGAAGGAACAAAGAAAGATGAGTCGATGATGGGAACAAAGATTAACTGTACCAGAGGAGACAGCGCTTTGGCTCATAAAATAGGGATACGAAAAAGTCAAGCGCTTGGAGGTGCGTCTGGCCTGGTGAGTCGAGCTGCAGAGGTGCAGGCATACCCTTCCTCTCTGAGGGTGACGAGGAAGGCCCCAGCCCAGCAGTGGGCAGCCCCACGACAGGCTTCTAGAAGCAGAAGCCCCATTTCCTGCTGACACTTTGCACCACTCCTGGAGAGACACTCCTTGACCAAATCACCCAGGCTTCATTCTGTGACGCAAAAGCTCTGCTCCTGGCGAGCAGCAAACACTGACAATACAGGTAGTCCCCGACGTACCACAGGGTTCTGTTCCGTGACTGTTGTAAGTCGGTTCTGACCTAAGTCGAATACATTATGTTTTTTGTTTGTTTTCATTTTCATTGACTTTTATTATTAGTATCTTTATAAATCCAATCTTTATTTGTCTTTGGGGGTTAGAAACATTACATATAAACTTACATATATATTTTTAATACAGACATACATAAAAAATACACAAATCATAAAAATTTACTCTGATGCTGAAGAATCGGAGGAAGGCATTTTGTCAGTTGCTATAATAACTCCACTTGTGGAAGGTTCTGGATCATCTGGATTATCTCTGGGAATGGGGATGGTGTTTCTAGTCAGAAAATTAGTGACAGTTGTCTGTATGGTCCTTTTCTGTTTTTCTTCGTATATTTCACGGTAACATGTTACTGCTTCCTGAGTCTGCCTGTTGACTTTAGCACAGCGATCAGCATTTGGGTCCATGTTTTCAAACAACAGAAGCCCCTGATTTAGTTTAGAAAACTGAACCTATACAGCAGTGTTTTGAACAGTAAATCGTAAAATTGAACATCTGCAAATAAACATCTGAGAATGATAACATCAGCAAATTACATGCTGCAACTTTGCACGTGGTAAATATTACTGACAATAAGATGTACCAAAAAAAAAAAAGAGACTGTCGTAAGTGCGATTCGTCATAACTCAAATACGTCTTAAATTGGGTACTACCTGTAGTGAAACATGGCGGAGAGAGTTTGAGAGAGTGTTCTCTTCCCTCCACTTTCAGTGAAACAGGAACTGCCTGTGTGTGTGTATGTAGGGGGTATCCTGGGTGGTGCAAACTGTTCGGCGCTTAGCTGCCAACCAAAAAGTTGGAGATTCGCATCCACCCAGAGGTGCCTCAGAAGAAAGGCCTGCCAATCTACTTCTGAAAAATTAGTCACTGAAAACCCTATGGAGCACAGTGCTACTCTGACACACAAGGACCGCCATGAGTTGAAATGAACTCCACAGCAATAGGTTGGTTGGTTGGTTGCCCTCAGTGGAACTTAGACAAGCTTGATGACCTGCAGAATTGTTCAGAAGTTCTTCACTGGCAAAGGGCAGCCAGTGATTGGGCACCCGCTTGCTGTCATTCAGCCTTTGTACAGTGAGACTCTAGCTTACAGGCAGAAACTCAGATTCCTCTCAATTGGTTCCACATCTAATCCCCAGTGCGCATGCGCAAACTCGCAAGTGGCCAGTGTTTGGGTAGATAATACTCCGTTCTCTGTCATGGCAGGAGCAGAGTCCTTATAGACACTGCACATTCCTGCTGAAGTCATCACTGCATCCACATAAGTCACCAGGCCAGATGGCTACATTCGTCCAACTTTGAAGTCGCTTTACTCAGAGAGGACTCATAGGCTAATACCCACCTTCGAAGCGAACACCTTTCCACACGTGTCTTGAGGCAGTTTAGGAGCTGCTGACTTATTCTTCATCATGTTGCTTGGAGGGAGAACAAAAGGTGGGGAAAGACAAAAGGCAGACATGATTATTTGCATTTTATATGGGAAAACTGAGGTTCAAACAAACCCTAAAGTGAAATACATAGACATTTAGTCAGATTCTACTCACGGAAAAGCCAGAATTTGCTATTCTGAATCCTAAATGGACTATTTTCTTGCCCAACAATTTCACACAGCTGTGATGACACAATTGTTTTGATACCAAGAAAAAGAACCCAATGCCGTCGAGTAAATTTCAACTCATAGCAACCCTACAGGACAGAGTAGAACTGCTTCACAGGGTTTCCAAGGCTATAAATCTTTACAAAAGCAGACTGCCACATCTTTCACCGAGTGACTGGTGGATTCGAACTGCTGAACTATTGGTTAGCAGCTGAGTGCTTTAACCACTGTACCACCTGGGCTCCTTTTTGTTTTTGATAACAGCTGCCTCAAAACAGGTGAGGCAAAATGCAAACTCTATTTTCTGTGTGTAACTGATTTCCTGCTCCTCATTTTGTCTCTGATTCTTGCCCCATCTCTGAACTTGACTATCTTTGGGCTTGAACTCTGACTTTTTGACTTCAGAGGACTCCCAAACTTTCTCTAGTCCTGTTGTTGTTGTTAGGTGCTGTCAAGTCCACTATGACTCATAGTGACCCCATGTGACAGAGTAGAACTGCCCCATAGGGTTTTCTTGGCAGAAATCTTCACTACAGTAGGTGGCCAGGTCTTTCTCCCAAAGAGCCACTGGGTGGGATTGAACTGCCAACCTTTCAGTTAGCAGCTGAAAACTTAACTGTTGCACCACCAGAGTTCTGTCTCTCCTTGCAATTCTGATCCTCACCTCATCCCTGGCCATTGGCTGATCCCTGATATTCCTCCCGTTTGGAACCTCTACCAATCCCTGCCCTTACCTGTCCCTGACCCATATACCCTCGATAACCAGAGGTAGGGTTGACAATGAAGTGAAGGTCAGAGTTGGAGTGAAGCTCACAGACGGAGTGGAGATGCCTGATTTACTCATCGTTTACTTACTTTTAAGAAGCTGAGCATGTATTGGCTGAATTTTGGAGCCAAATCAGAATAACCTTACGTCATAATAGCTGCAATAAAGTGGCTCTATTAAAATAGCTGCATCCAAAGAACTGAGAGTCAAGATGTCACCTGCGTCTGGCACCTGATTTTGGTCCTCTTTTGCATGGCCCTGCCTTCTGCTCTGCTGTAGTCTGGTGTGTGGTTCATCAGAAGAGGCGCCGATACCACAGCCGCTTTGTATCCTGCTGTTCCCAGTGAAGGCGACGTAGGTGTAGCAGATGAAAACTCATCCAGAAGCCGAACAGAATGCTAATGGCATGGCCATGTGTTTCCACCTCCCCTGAGACAGCCAGGCTGGCATCCGTCCTCTCACAGCCTTCCTCCCGCCTCCATCCACCCACAAGCTCTGGTTGGGTCAAAAATGCAATTCTTTGATGGTGCCAGACAGCCAGATGATGCTGGAAAGAAGAAAGCAAAAGCAAAAGCAGGTTTCTAAATTAAGCACAAGTCTCATTTATGAAAATAAATACTCATAGCCTAGCAACGTGCACAGCTCAGCTTCCCTCTGTAATGAAACCTCTGTGGCCAGAGCTGGGATGACACAACCGTTGGGTTCCCCACGCCCAGTCCCTCCCTGTGTGTAGTCCTCATTTGGAGAGTGCTGATATAGTTATCAAGTGCCCAGTGTGTGCTATGTACTAAGCTGGATACTGGACATTCAATGACAACGGACTTGCATTTAAACAGAGCAGCCAAGGGAACTTCATCTGTTTTTGCTTCAGGTATATTACATACTGCCAAGAATTCACAGGTGTTCAGGGCTGTTATGGATTGAATTGTGTCCCCCCAAAATATGTGTCAACCTGGCTAGGCCATGATTCCCAGTACTGTGTGATTGTCCACCATTTTGCCATCTGATGTGATTTTCCTACGTATTATAAATCCTACCTCTATGATGTTAATGAGGTGGGATTAGAGGCAGTTATGTTAATGAGGCAGAACTCAATCTATAAGATTAGGTTGTGCCTTAAGTCAATCTCTTTTGAGATAGAGAGAAGCAAGCAGAGAGACGGGGACATCATACCACCAAGAAAGAAGCGCCGGGAGCAGAGCGTGTCCTTTGGACCTGAGGTCCCTGTCCTTAGAAGCTTCTAGACCAAGGGAAGATTGATGATAAGGACCTTCCTCCAGAGCTGACAGGGAGAGAAAGACTTCTGGAGCTGGCACCCTGATTTGGACTTCTAGCCTCCTGGACTGTGAGAGAATAAATTTCCTTGTTAAAGCCATCCACTTGTGGTATTTCTATTATAGCAGCACTAGATAACTAAGACAAGGGCCTTATTAAGTTTGGGAAGCTCTGGTTCCCTCTGCTCCTTGGGAGCCTGGCCCTTTGTTAACCTTGAATGATGAGGTCAAATGGGCCAACTTCATTCGAGGTTGAATGGAAGGAACAATATTGGTCCATGTTGACTCCTGGGAGTGTCAAAAGCTGAGCCAAGCTGGGCAGAGCTGAGCTGCCAGGCATCAGAGCAATCAATTAAGACAATAAACCAAAATGAAAATCTTTAATGGCTTACTGAGATAGTATAGGCAAGACACTAAGCAGGAGAAAGCTCTGGCTTCCCTAATGCTCCATTTTTCCCAATGGAACAGCATCAGTGAGGGTCAGATGGATCAGCACAGACAGAAGGGATTATCTTATTACCAAGGGAACCCCTGGACCAAAGCCTCCTGCAGTTTTATGGCACTGGGGGAAGGGAGAGGGGAAAGGCCAGTTGGGGTGGGAAAGTACTGAGTACTGACTTAATGGAGAAAACTGTCTTCAAGGCCCCCTGAAAAACAGAACCAAACCTGATTCTGACTCATGGTGACTCCATGTGTGTCAGAGAAGAACAGAATTCTCTTGGCTGTAACATTTGTGGAAGCAGATTTCCAGGCCTTTCTTCCATGGTACCACTGGGTGGCTTTGAACCACCAACCTTTAGGTTAGTAGTTGAGCGCAAACCACTTGTGCTACCTGCATTCCATAAGGTCTTTGTAAAGGCACATGAGGAAAGCTTCAGCTGAGGGCCCCCCAAAAGAGGCCATCACATGGAGGTTCCTGGGCTAGGAATACAGATATACTTGCAAGCGTGGCTAGCCAGGATGCCTGAGTCCTCAACGGCAACTTCCTCCAGAGCCTGCAGTGAGTTGGCTGTGCACCAAGTATGATTGGGGAGGCAGGTTTCCCCCTGAGGCCTGCCGGGTAAATCGCCTGTATTCGGGCCTGAAAGATCACACATAGGTTTTTCAGCTAGGAGCTGGACTCCTCAGTTGGAAGGGTCAGTGTGGTTCCATTTTGACTCCTGGGACTGATTGTTTTCTGTGAGCATTCCACATATTCTCCAGCAATTAGAGAGAGACTGGTCATGAACCACCATCTCAGAGCAGGGGCCCTGGGTTATAAAGTTGAAAAGATCAGAGAAATTGGCCCACCACAGTGTTCAGAAATCTGAATACTGGCCAGAAACAGTAAAATCACATCCATGTCAGTGAGAAGAAGGTTCTTAATTAAATTCAGATGTACAAGAATACATTACAGGTCTATTTTTGGAATAATGATCTGTAGGGGACAAAAAAATCCAAACAGCAGCAAAATGGCACACTAGCATCCAGTTTCACAGAACAGTGCGACTGAAAAGCCTGGGTCCTCCTAGACCCCTAGATCATTTCAACCCACAGCTTCCCAGACCACCAAAGCTACCACCTCAGAGCATTCAGGAAGAGAGTCTCCAGCAGTGACTTGATTGGTGATGTGATCACAGAGGACATGGGGCTTGAGCAGCGGGTAGCCCCATCAGAGGGTAAGAACACAGACTGGTCAGGCTACCACCAAATCTACAGGGACTTCCCTTTGGTGGCTTTAAGGGAGTCCCTCTCTGAAACAGGTGAACAATGTTATCCACAACCTCAGACCTCTGGTCCACCATGGTGACACACAGTGTATCCTATCAATCCCTAATGCTCCTTGCTAAGGGCTCCTACTTCTGAAATGTCTGTTCAGTAATGAGACCACACTGACTCCTACTCTCTGTAGAGATTACAGGTATTAATGAGTACAGGGTCCAAGACTCAGCTCTGTGATTTTAACTACTTAGAAACTCAATTTCCTCAGACATAAAATGGGGAGAATAAAAACTACCCTATCTACCTCCAAAGGTTGTCTAAGGATCAAATGAAACACTATATGTTTAAATGCTTCTCAGTCTGCAACCTATTGTTCTATGTTAAAATGTTTATATGTTGTAAAGGTATACAATGAAAGTTTGCTTTTAATGTAAAGAGGGAGACTTCCATTGTCACAAATGTTTAGAGTGCCACCTGGTTCTCAGTGTTTTAGGATTTTGTTCATCCTAGTCATAATCCACTGGTGGTTCAGTGGTAGAATTCTCATCTTTCATGAGGGAGACCCGGGTTCAATTCCTGGCCAATGCACCTCATGCTCAGCCACCACCTATCTGTCAATGGAGACTTGAGTGTTGCTATGATACTATACTGAATAGGTTTCAGTGGTGCTTCCAGACTAAGATGGATTAGGAAGAAAGGCCTGGTGATTGACTTCAAAAAATTAGCTAATGAAAACTCTGTGGATCACAATGGTCCAATCCCATTGTGCATGGGGGCACCATGAGTTGGGGATCAACTCAACGGCAGCCAATAACAGCAACACTCATAACTTTATTTTTTGCAGAGACCCCTGGCCTGTTCCCTTTGCTCCCCATACCAAAGACTTAATATTCTGAAATGTTTTTGTAACAGTTGCTCTTCTCTCACAATCCTAAAAAACTGCTAGAATTCTAGAACATATGAGATACTTTAGAGGCTTAGGTAATCCACCCCATCACTTTACAGATGAGAGCATGGGGATCAGAAAGGTCAGGCACTCACCTGAAGTCATCTTGTCCTCTGCTCCCTCACAGCCTGTGCTGGCTGCCCTCCAGTGTGTCTTTGAGGACCACAGCTAAGTTAGGTGACCCCCCCATCATAGCCACATTTCTCTACTTTTGAATGAGTAAATACCACTTAAGCCAGGTGTGTTATTTAGGATGCAGGGAGGGGCAAGCAGGAGGAGGATAGGAGGTTGAGGACAAGTGGTTATTAAAGAATGGCAGTGTCAAAGATGAAAATCACACTCAGGAGTGAAAGAAAAAGAGTTTCGTGGAGGATAATACAGCTTGAGCTGGGAAACACTAAATATACAAAACACTCAGCTATTCAAGCAGAAAGAGGGGTCTATATACATAGAGAACAAAGGAAAAGTAGGGGGTTAGTTTGATTGATTATAGATAAGATCAGTTCAGCTTGAATTCCTTTGAAATGTAAAGGTCAGCCACTTGGCTAGGAGGGAGTGAGTTACCTCGTAGGTGAGTGGCACCAGCAGGTTCGGTTATACACGATTGCAGTGATGAACACATTTTTTCCTGGAAACAAATTGTTTACATCTTGACACATTCTTCCCATGAACAAATGGTTTACATCCTGAACTTTTGCTTCCTGGGAATGCCTGTTGAGCCTGTCATTCTTATATCTGACACGAGTGCCTCCAGTTTGAAACTTTCCTGTTTACATTTCCCCCTTTTGATCAAGCCTCTGCTAGGGGGTGCTGATCACCCACAATGGAGTATCTTTTCTTCTGCAAGGACTTTGTCTGTTTTCTTGAGGAGCTTTGGTTAATGTAAATTATTTTCTTCACCTTGTTGAGCTAATATGTCTCATCTTCAGGGTGAGTAGATTTTATAGGGAATGTCTTAACATATAAGGCCACATTCGAAGAATATTTCTCAGTCAGGACAGAATGATAGAGGTCAAGAAGAAACATACCTAGGGAAACAAAAAGGAGGTGATTAAATAATAAAATCATAAGTGAAAGCCTTTGAAACCAGCATGATTTTATGTGATGGTCAAATGGTTTTTAAGTAGAGCATTTCATAGCTAAAATGTGTTGAACATAAGCAAAATATCATTTTTAATTACAATAACAAATGATGAGGAATATAAAGATTTCAAAATAAAGTAGCAATTTTCCCACTACCCACCCCAAGAGGAAAAACAAATACTTATAATATCAGTTAAGGAAGGAACAAGATCACTAAGGTGAGATACCACACACTGCATATGATTAACACAGTCTGTAATATCAGAACTATTTTCAGGAATATGAACACAGCAATCAGATTTTATTATGGCAGAGGTGTCTCCTTGGTCTGCAGTAAGAATGTCGAAGGCCATTCTATTTTGGAGTACCACTTTTCTCACCAGAAATCAGACGTATTGCATTGGGAAAATCTGCTGCAAAAGACCTCTTTAAAGTGTTGAAAATCAAAGGTGTCACTCTGAGGAATAAGGTGCGCCTGACCCAAGCCATGGAAATCCTGGTGGCATAGTGGTTAAGAGCTATGGCTGCTAACCAAAAGGTCAACAGTTTGAATCGGCCAGCCACTCCTTGGAAACCCTATGCAGCAGTTCTGCTCCATCCTATATGGTCACTATGAGTCAGAATCGACTTGATGACAGTGGGTTTGGTTTTGTTTTTTGACCCAAGCCATGATGTTTTCAATTGCCTTGTAGGTATGTGAAAGCCAGACAACGAATAAGGAAGACCAAAGAAGAATTGATGCCTTTGAATTACGGTGTTGCCAAAGAATATTGAATATACCACGGACTGCCAGCAGAACAAACAAATCTGTCTTGGAAGAAGTACAGCCAGAGTGTTCCTTGGAAGTGAGGATGGCAAGACTTTGTCTCATGCACTTTGGATATGTTATCAGGAGGGACCAGGAAAAGAACATCATGCTTGGTAGAGGGTCAGTAAAAAAGAGGAAGACCCAGTTAACACAGTGGCTGCAACAATGGGCTCAAACATAGCAACAATTGTGAGAATGACGCAGGACCAGGCAGTTTTTCGATCTGTTGTGCCTAAGGTCACTATGAGTTGGAACCAATTCGACAGCACCTAACAACAACAACAAACTTTTTTCATCATTGTTATTTCAGTATTGATCTCTTGAAGCCCATGGGCACTGTCATTTAGGACAGTTTGTATATATTTAGTTAATATTTCTACATGTGCCATAACATCTTCAAGTCCTATCTGAGTGTTAATATTGTTACTAAATGATCAAGCCATGGAAACATGGATCAAGACCATCAAGCTCTTAATATGGTATGTTATCTGGTAAATGGAGTTCAACTGAAATACATCCTTGAGTCCAGCTCAGGCCCAGAGTGCATCTTCCAATCCAGCCTGGTGGGAGCCACGGCCAAAGGTTGGTTCCAGATGGCCAGAAGGTGCCTTTAGGGGCTAACCAATAGATAGCTGAGCGTTGTAGTCAGTGAGGAGCGAACAAATCAGTAGCTTGTAAGGTTATAACAGATGCACATTCAGATAATTGGAAGCCATCCCATAGGCTGGTGATGGCTGGGTTATTTATATGTGTGTGGGTTGATTGTTCCCAGCAAAGGGAAGTAACCTGAGTTAGCATCCCCCTCTTGGGGAGTTAACCAGATGAATCCATCCCACAGTTGTTTATATGGACCTACTATACAAGAGTACTGTTTGTGGGTGTGGACAATTCTTTAGCTAGCTCTTCTTGGGCAACTTTATTTAGTAAAGTAAGGGTTATGTTAAGACTAAAGGTTAACTTATGGCCTGGGTTTTGTTCAGATCCAAAAGAGGCCATTTATCAATGGAAAATCTAATAATAGTGATTTCCTATAGTAATGAACTATTTCTCCATTGTTCTTGTATTCATAGATCAAGAGCAACCCAATCAGATCCCTGTAGTGGAGAGGATCCACCAGGGAAGGCCAGACTGACTTGAGGTTGGGAGGGCACCACATATCCAACAATTAAACCTTTTAAAATGGTGAGCATAAGTATCTTCCCAATCTAAGAAAACATTAGTAGAGGCATGACTATAACAAAGGTAAAAAGAAAAAAAAGATGGAAGTACATTTTCAGGCCTCATCCAGGGTTTGGGTCAGCCATCTGCCTCAGATGTCATCTGCTTCTGGCCACAGGGGCATTTAAAAGTAACCTTTAATTCTCTGGTGCGTTGGCTAGCCCAAAGAGGAATCTTAACCTTTTTTAACTGTGACAAATGGATCCAAGGTTTTATTCTCTCTAATTTGGCTACACATGGATTGGTGAGGAGGGCTAAGTATGGTCCCTTGAATGAGGTTCTAATGTGTCTTTTATTTGGTGTGCTTTCCAATATACATATTCTACTGTGGTGATGTTACACAGACTTTGGGAGTCTAGTTTCTGTTTGTCAAAGGCTTCTCTACCCTGTGAGAGATATTCTTTAGAATATTGTATTAAAGACTGGCAATACTTTAGTAATTCAGGTTGAACAATGTTAGGGTCAGTGCAGGCAACATAAGGAAGGAGTATGGATGTCTTAGTCATCTAGTGCTGCTGCAACAGAAATACCACAAGTGGATGGCTTTAACAAAGAGAAATTTATTTCTTCACAGTAAAGTAGGCTAAAAGTCCAAATTCAGAGTGTTAGCTCCAGAGAAAGGCTTTCTCTCTTTGTTGGCCTTCTCATCAATGTTCCCCCGGACTAGGAGCTTCTCCACACAGGGAGCCCGGGTCCAAAAGACACGCTCTGCTCCTGGCACTACTTTCTTGGTGGTATGAGGTCCCCCTGTCTCTCTGCTCACTTATCTCTTTGATATCTCAAGAGATTGCCTCAGGACACAATCCAATCTTGTAGACTGAGTCCTGCCTTAGTAACACAACTGCCACCCATTCTCTCTCATTTACATCATAGAGGCAGGATTTACAACAAATAGGAAAATCACACAACACTGGGAATCATGGCCCAGCCAAACTGATACACACACTTTTAGGGGGACACAATTCAATCCATGACAATGGGTCTCCTAGTAATTACTACATAGTTGGTAAGTTTGTGAGATCTAAATGGTGTAGACTTCAGATTTAAAAGAACTAAGGGGAAGACCTTAGTCCAGGATAAATTTAAAGTTTCACAAAGCTACGCTATTTGGGTCTTTATTATTCCATTAGTTCTCTCTACTAGACCAGAAGACTGAGGAGATTGGGACAATGTGTTATTGCTGTTGTTGTTGCTGTTAGGTGCCGTGGAGCTGGTTCCAACTCATAGCGACCCTGTGTACAACAGAACATACTTGCCGACATCTGTGGATATGATTGGTCATAAAGTTTCAGGAACTAGTGAAAAGATGTTAGAAGGGAGAAAACTAGGTTGAGTTGAATTTTGGAGAGGCATGACAAGTGCTCGCATATAGTAAATGGCTTCTTCTTCCTGAATATTGTCTGTTAGATTGGGGATATCAGGCAGACTCAATAATATTTCCCCCTTTTCATTAAATTGTAAGAGGCAGTTCCATTTGGATAAAAGATCTTTTCCCAATAGATTGACAGGGATACCATAACTAAGCAAAAAAGGGTGCAAATCTTCAACAGTCCAAGAGATTTTGGAACAGTTTGAGAATGAATCAACATTTGCTCCTGATTGGTGACCCTCATGACTTTTGAGGTTTAGTATTCTGGGGCAGAGGCTTTTGTTAAAAGGTGGGAAGAGGTGGGGCCAAGATGGTGGAGTAGTCAGACACTTCCAGTGGACCATCTTACAACAAAGACCCAAAAAAACAAGTGATTCAATTATATATGGCAGTCTGGGAGCCATGAACATCAAAGGCAGAGTTGAGGAAATGGACTGAGTGGCAGGGGAGGGAGAGATGGTTCAGAAGCAGCGAGGAGTTGCCAGACCTGAACCGGCAAGAGGCTGAGCCCTTCAGGCCTGATGAGCTTGGGGGTGAGCGGTGAAGCACACAAGCATGGGTGCCCAGGAGGTGTATTCCACACTAGGAGAGACCCAGCTGCTGAGAGTCTACTTGGCCACGAAGAAC